ATGGAAGCTTGCAGAAAACTGAAAAAAATCACACAACAACCGTATCGAATTCGACCACCACCAAACTCGCCGCTAGAAACGCGTAGCTCCCACTGTAAAACCGCTCACCTTCGTAAAACTGTCAGAAACGTTATAGTGTTTGTTGTCTCCTCTATTATGATTGGTACCCCTTTTCTCCTTCTTGATTTCACTTTGAACCATACTTTTGATATTTTATTTGTAAGAGAGATGAGAGTGAGATTTGTGTTGAAGAAGTTGGAAGAAGAAGAGAGAAATTAAGCAGAAAGAGTGAAGTTTGAAAAAGAAGAGTGAGAAGAAAAAGAAAAGTGATGTGATCAGAAAAAGAAAAAGAAGAAAAGAGATTGGTAACACCAAAAAGACAAAAAAGTTTAATTGAATTGGTTGCTTTGGAATAAAAGTGAGTTAAAACCGGGATTTTTTTTTTAAAATAACAATGTTATAATTTTTATTTACCAAACAAATGATAGTTTAAAAAATATTACCAAAATGGCAAGGTTTGGAAATCAATCAACGTGCATTCGCCAATTGGTTTGGCGAATTAGGCCAACCACTTTTCAAGGGATTCGCCATTTGGTTTGGCGAATGAGTTTGTTTGTGGGCTTTCGCCCATGCAATTGGCGAATTGGTTTGTGTTTTAGGGTTTTCGTTTTCATATTTACAGTTTTAAAATTTAATTGTTTTTTGATTTTAATTATTATTATTATTAACCATAAAATATATAAATTTATAATCTAATTAATATTAATATAATTAATATTAATTTATAATATAATTTATAATGTCATTAAAAATACACGAACAAAAATATAAATATAATGAAAATTACAAAAAAAAACCCTAATTAATATTAATTTATAATTTAATTTATATTTTGATTTTGATTTTAATTATTTTTATATTATTAATAAACTTAAAAAAATTAAGTTTAAAAGTTTAAATTATTTTATGAAATTATAAATTTAAAATAAATTGGTTTGCTTGCTAAATTGCCCAGCTTGGGTTTTAAACTTCCCTTATATATTTTTGGGGTGGCATTCATCAATGGATGTATAGCCACCCCAGTGGTAATCACTTTGTCATCAAATGCGCATTTCACCTTGCTAGCTTGGGTTCGATCCCTGAGGAGGATCAATCCTTTTGTATAATATGTTTTTGCTTTTTTTTGCATTTTATTTTCACTTGTTGTGATTTATTTGCGCACTAACTTATCACTTTTTAATTGTCATTTTTTTTTTGCTATAAATACGAGCTCAGACACATGTTTGTTTTCACAACATTATTTCCTAAAAGACTAAAGTGGTAGTGCGGTTTGAGTTGAGTGGAGTCCATAATGTCTGCATTTCTAAATCAACGTTCTTCTTCTTCGCCATCAGCATCGGAGGAACCTTTTCCAACGTTTGATATAATGAAAAGAAATGCCCTTGTGGTGTTTTCAGCAACAAAGCCTCCGATGAAGGTGCTCCTGTGGAATACGCAGACGTTGGAGCACTTGCACAGGGAACTGAACCACTGGCTAGAAGGGGATATTGCTCCAGGAGAAAAGATTAGGAAAATTGAGAGGTTGGTGGAGAAGACCGATAGAAACGGAGTTACTCGTGAATGGAGAAAAGTGGAAAATGATGTCGGCGTCCTTGTGATGATGTTGACATCAAAGGAGATAAAGTTGATGGTCGTGATATCGTAGACGCTCTGTTCCAGTGTTTTGTTTTATGTCTTTACTTTGTTGTTATGTTTGTTTAATTTATGAAAGTTAACTGTGCTTTACCATTTTGTTCATGTCTATGTTTTACCATTTTGTTATCGTAGACGCCGAGTTTGTAAGTCCTTTTGTTCATGTCTATGTTTTACCATTTTGTCCAAAAAAACTATAGTAATTTTGTCTAAAAAAACTATAGTAATTTTACTTCATTATTTTGCAGGATGTATCAAGGTTTCGGTGTCGTGTGCATGATTACATACCACACGACCCCCTCATTACAAACTATCTTATGCATTGTGGGTTTGGGCATGTGATCGAAATCAAATCTTATTCCCTTGACACAAAATTTATTCTAGCGTTGTTAGAACGCTGGAGACCGGAGACACATACATTTCACCTTCCTTGTGGTGAGTGTATTGTGACTCTCCAGGACGTTTATATGTTGCTCGGCCTACACATTGATGGTAAGGCCGTCAAAGGCAAAGTTGGTGTCCCTGACCGACTTTGTGAAGATTTATTGGGCGCACCTCTTTGTGAGGACGGACCTCAGGCGGCAAGCAAGGGCCGCCCGAGGGGTCAGGGTATTAACTTAAAATACCTGAGAGAACAATACAACGGTATTGTTTTAACAGATGAGAGCACCGAGTATGAGAAAATACTCAAAACTCGGTGCTATATTATGATTTTATTTGGGCACTTTTTATTTCCAGACGGCACTGGAAATACAATTCATACTATGTATTTACCATTATTGTGTAATATCAACAAAGTGTGTGAATATAGCTGGGGATCAGCAGTCCTCGCCCATCTATATAGCGCACTTTGTAAGACGTCCAAAAAAAATTCTTGTACTTTTTTTGGTTGTGCTTATCTTTTGCAAGCTTGGGGTTGGTCGAGGATGCCAATGCTTGCTCCAATAAACAGAAATTCTTTTACGTTCCCCTACGCAAAAAAGTAAGTATCTTTTCAACAGTATTTAACATATACGTATTCTATTTCAGTTAATAATTTCTAACTTGTGTTTATTTTTTTAGGTGGTCTGTACCCGGGATGAATTATGAGAAATGTCCAAGGCACTCTATAATTCAATACCGCAACCTAATCGACCACCTTGGGCCAAACGATGTAAGTTATTTACCCCAATTTTTTTTAATGTATATGCATAAACTTTACACATCCTGTCCAACCTAATTTTACAACTATATTGTAGTTTATCTGGATGCCGTACGAGGGTCTCGACCACCAGCCCAACCCCGACGATGCCGCTGTGTGAACAACAAAGACACCTATAATTAGGTTCACTACGGTGGAGATGCACCAAAGTGATCGGGTGAAACTCCAATTTGGGATGCATCAAGATATTCCAGATGCTCCCGTAGACTTGGGGAAGTGGCATCAAAAACAAGTAGACGCACAGTGGATGGTTGATGATTGGAAGGAGTTTGCAAAGGAGCTGCGAGTACTTTGGAAAAGAAGAAGGCAATACGTCTTAACCGACAGTATTATGCACAGGGCTAGGCCAAGTCTTCAATATATGACTTGGTTTAGTTCTGTCACGACAACCCAGCCTTTCCTGTCCCAGCCAACCTATTCGGCCGATCCAAGGGAACGTGGTTCTTCATCATACCCACAAATACCAACAGACACCCCCCATCAACAACAACCACCATACGAAGACCATCAACAACAACCACCATACGAAGACACCCCCCAATCCATGCCAACATATACCCCCTATCAACAACAACCACCTTACATGCCACCAATCCAATCCCAGCCTCAACCATCTAACCAGTACAGCCCTGATATGTCTTTTGATCCTCCCCCTGCCACATATATCCCGGACAACTCATTCGACGCTACCCCCTCCAACTACACCTCCAACCACCCACTATTTAACTACCACACCCCACAACAACCAACACACCTAGACCAACCCAACTCCATGTACACTTTCGGACAACCATACCGTCCATACTCCACCCACCCTTCCTGACAATCGTACCAAAACATGGGCATTGGCCTTGACTACGGAAGTGCATGTGACATGGGACCTCCCGGCTATTGGGATCAAATGATGCAAGATCTAGCTGATACGCCGGGGCCGTCCCAACAGAACCCTCCACCACAACTCAACACACAACATCCTGACACACCACAACAACCTCGTCGAAGACCTCGTCGCAACACGCGTCCCCCCAATGTGGCACCGGTGGTCACTTGGATAGAGCCGATCATTAGGGTTTTTTTTTTTTGTAATTTTCATTATATTTATATTTTTGTTCGTGTATTTTTAATTACATTATAAATTAATATAATTTCATTTTATTATCACTTTATGCTTACGAATATATTTTAATTATATTAATATTAATTAGATTATAAATTAATATATTTTATGGTTAATAATAATAATAATTAAAATCAAAAAATAATTAAATTTTAAGACTTTAAATATGAAAACGAAAATATATTATATGATAATTAAATTCAAACTCTAAAACACAAACCAATTCGCCAATTGCATGGGCGAAAGCCCACAAACAAACCCATTCGCTAAACCAAATGGCGAATCCCTTGGAAAGTGGTTGGCCTAATTCGCCAAACCAATTGGCGAACGCACGTTGATTGATTTCCAAACTTTGCCATTTTAATAATATTTTTGAAACTATCATTTGTTTGGTAAATAAAAATTATAACATTGTTATTTTAAAAAAAAATTCTAAAACCGGTGCAAAGTATAGGTGAAGTCAAACAAATTAGAAAAAACAACAATTAAATTGGTTGCAATTGATAGTTGGTTCAAAAAATAAATTTATAAACCAATAGTAAGGTGGTAGAATTAGAAGAAAGAGAAAAAATAAATTTTCCCTAACATCTAATTTTTTTATATTATAAATATACATATTTTTTAAAGAGTGACCGAAGGATTTTTTCAATCTCAGCCATGCATTTTGGTTTAATATAAATGGTTGAGATTGAAGCAGCATAAGAAACATAAGAGACAGAGCCGGAGATGATCTGTTTCCATATTTTTTTGCAATTAAAAAAATGTCCTATATGCATATTTATATTTTGCATGTAAATATATTTACCTTGTTATATTTAACACATATTATTCACTCTAATGGACGCAATTGCATGCATTTTGGCGTGATATATAAAGTGAAACCGCAGGCACAACTTAAAATCATGTTCTTTCATCTTGTTTACACATGAATGCAGAACACAATATTCAAAATTACATAACACTAGATAGATGAGAAGAGAGACATGAATGTTAAACTCTAAGCAAGTAAATGCTGAGTTCAGGGCCAGCACTACCAATAGGGTTCATCATGTAGAAAGCTTCAGAGTCCTTAGAACCAACAACTCTCTCATACTTAGCTCTCATATACATTATTTCACCTTCATTTCCACTACTTGGCATTGGTAACACACCAGCACCCATTGAAATTGGTTCCACAGCTTTCAATATCTTCCATTCCTCTGACCTACATTCATGTCTATATCCATAACCACATTTCCTTCCATTGCAATAAGTCCTCCAAATGGGTTCCTCGAGTAACTTCAAACCCTTTCTTCCTCCTCCTCCAGATTTCTTCTCACACTCCAATGCAATCCTCACCACCCCAGAAGCCATTTCCCTAACCAAAACACTTGTTGGTGTTGCTAGCTCGATTAAAAACGCAGGGCTTAACTTTGAGTCCTCTTGGAACGCAAAATGGACATGTCCGCGACGGTAGCCGAAAAGGGTCCCCACCATGCGTGTGCTAGAACTGTGAGTAAGTATTGTTAGTGCTGACTTGAACTTTGATTTTGAATTCTTGTTCTTTTCAAGAGCAGCAATTCCTACTGGCATTTGGTATCTAAGTTGATTATGATGATCTTCTTCTTTCTTTCCGCCAACATCATCGTCATCATCGTTGTCATCCTCAGCGAAATGTGATGATGAACTTATGTTAAGGATTTTTTCTTCATCGTCCTCATCCAAAGGCTTCTTTTTCCAATGGAAATACCTTCTAGAGAAGGAGAAAGAAGAGTCATGAGGTGATTTGGCTGCCATTATACTCTTCATAATGATGGAGAAAACAGCAACCACAAAAGTGTTACAAATGATGTTTCTGTCTTATAACTTAGTAGTGTGTTTAAAAAGGTGGTTTTATCTACATCATTGTAATAAGCCCTACATAATATGATACCCATGATTAAGGACAAGAAAGAGAATATGTCAAAAGGAAGGTAAACAACCACCACCTACCTTATAGGGAACAAGTAACCGGAGATTTTGAGGGCAACAAAAAATCAGAATTGAAATGGACAGGTAAAGTTTGATGATTTTGTGGTGTGTGTGAGGTGGAACTACAAAAAGTGAGACAGTTTTGGTGTAATTTCTTTATCAAAAGAAATGGGTAGGAAGAGGGGATTGACTTGTTGCACTGAGTTGCACTGGAGGCAGTTAATAATTGTAGGTGAAGCCACAGCTACCATACCCACCTTGGAATGGAATTGGTGAAAGATAAACACAGCCACATAATTTATCACCTACGGACCTATATATGCAACTAAATTCAAAACTATCTTTATCTTTATTTATAGGAATATTTTTATTTATAATACTAATAGTTTATGAAGCTATTCATTTATATCCATCTAGATTTAAAAAGTGTAAGCTAGCAGCTACAATGTTTTACTTCCACATTTATTTAAAGTAATCATAAAACTAGAGTGAGACTTTGAATTTTAATAATTTTTTTTCTTTACAAATATAGTTAATACATTTATATTATAATGATTGATTAATTGTGAATTTCCTTTCATAAATATAGTTAATATATTTTTTTTAACAAATTATATAAATTAATAAAAAATAAAAAGGAAAATATATGTTAGTAAATTAAAACTGATATATAAAATTTTTTTTTACAAATTTAATAAAAGGTATTAGTGGTTTTTTTTCTTCATTTTCATTGTTTTTCTATACTTCTATCTATTTTAAATTGTTTAACTGATATACAATATTTTTATATTTTATTTGTTAATTTTTGAAATGTAAAAATTTAAATTTTATTATATAAAACTATAATAAAAAATATATTGTAGGAAGAGTTTATATGAATTTTTTAATAATGTGAAAATAGTTGATACATAAACAAATATATATATATATATATATATATATATATATATATATATATATATATATATATATATATATATATATATATATATATATATATATATATATATATATATATATATATATATATAAAAGAAATTATTGCAAGTCAAATATGTAGTGTTATATTTGCGAGTGTCTTAAATAAGAGCACCCTCGTCTAAGAATGGTATCACTTAGGTGATGACCTAAGGATTTGCCATCAACAATCATGTCGTGTAAAGTCGTTAGTCAAGAAGGAGAAAGTCTAATTTTACTCCTGAAAGGTTAGGTGGTCAATAACTTCTCCTACTCAGGAGGGAGCGATTGTCGCCACTAAAGGTTACTCAAATCATAGGCTCAAAAGGCCTTTATAAATACCTCTCCCCTAACAGGAGAAAAAGACAATTAATTATATCTTAAGCATAGTGCTTAGCCAGATCACAACACATACTGATCGTACCTTTGTACGCTTACTACAAACACATCACTCATCCACAAAGCCTTTCACCTCACGTGAGCAAGACTCCTAAAACTATCTCAAAACACAATTGTACATGACTTCTCGCCGTTGTGGGCAAGCGCTAACCATTCTAAATTGTAATAAATCTTCGTGGGCAGGAGGAACATGCACACATGTGTTAGCTAGAAAATTTTGACCAAGAAAAGAGAAGCAATTCGAAGGGAAGCTTGACATCACAAATGAAGAAGTCGGAACGGGTTCGACGGGAGATCCTGCAGACCAAATTCAAATAAGTCTCAACGGACTACCCGTCAGAAGGACGTTGAAGCAGGCTCGACAGATAGTCATTCTAATTGAGGTCGAAGACAAGCCAAATGAGCAAGTTTGCAACTGACGAGAACGTGAGAAGTTATACAAGAAGTGGGCATGCATGGGTGGATGCGTGACAGGCTGTGGATGGTCGATTATGAAGTAGCAGTTATGTTTCATGCCTATTTAAGTAGAGTTTAATTTCAGTTTTAAAGGTCGCATTCTAGAATATTGAAAAGAATACACTCAAAGTATCATCGTTTAAGAGAGACGAGTCATTTCTACACAAACGTATGCACACGTCCAATTTACACTTAAGCAATTTATTTCATAAGTCTTTGTTTTTGTTCATCTCCTTTTGCAATTTTGTCTTGTTCTCTCATTGAGTTATTTCAGTTGTACGAACGTAGTTCTTTATCTACCATTCCAAACCTAAACACTCAAGCACTCGTTATACACTTATCACATAGTCTAGGATTCTTGTAGTCGATCCTGCAAGTAAACTTTAATAAGAGGCTAGAGATTGTTTGCCGAAAATCCAGGCCAACAAATTGGCACGCCCAGTGGGACGCGTTTGTGTTAAATATATGCAATTACGTAGTGGTAAGAAAATGGTAGATCCACGAAATACCAATCCAAACGAGGAGCAATCCTTTGGAGGAAATACAGTCGTGTCAGAAGCAACTAATGTTGGTTCTAACACTAAGGTTGCGGTTTTGACTGCCCACAGTGGACCGACACAGTCATCATGTCGGCCTGAAGCGTTAAGACCGACGGTGGTTGGAACTTCAGGGTCATTTATGCCCAGTTTCACCTTGCCCATGTATGGTAGGGATTGAAACTTTGGAATGCCAACTGAGTTGATGGCAAGTATACATGGGAGCGGTTCGACGTTTGGCAAAATTTCATCCTCATCATTTTCACCTTACCATGGATTAAGACCTTTGGGAAACCAATTTGGTCGAACCGCAGGACTGGGGTTTCCATCCTAGGCAATCCTAACCTTTACTTCAAGTTTCGCCGTGGTTATGAGATAGCAAATGGACGAAAGTAATCATGAAATGGTCCATATGATAACTCAACAAATGGGAACCATACTGAGGCCATTAATTCAAGATTCGACTCAGAGTTACCAACAACTGGGAACTCAAATGACTAGAACAGGTCATTTCTTGGGTGCTTCTAGGGCACAAGTTTGACAGAGGACCCACCTTAGCCAGAGGTATCAGTCCAAAACGAAGAGAAGTTCGATGAGACGATTGACCAAGAACCCTATGTGGTCGAACCAATGCCTAGGGTGGCCCAACGGCCTCCCGTCGTGCTAGTTAATAGGAACCAAGTCCCGGACCACGTGGTTAGACAAGTTTGACAGGATGTAATGGCTGAAGAGCAAAATTTAGAGGCCATTGTAAAGCGAATCATGGTTCAAAATGGTGTGAACCTTAGCTTGAAAAGGACAACGTATTCGTCCCCATTACCAGATTTTGTGTTACAAACATAAATGCCAAGGGGATGGAAGGTTCTGAAGTTTACCAAGTTCACTGGGGACATCAAAGAGTCCACTATCAAACACGTCACCAGATATCAAATTGAAGCTAATGACATAGCGAATAATGAGGATTTGAAAATGAAATACTTTCTAATTTCCCTAAAATAAATGTGTTTACTTGGTTTACGACGCTACCTCTACAGTCTGCCCATACGTGGGCACAGTTGGAGAGACTGTTCCATGAATAATTCTACATGGGACAGTCGAAGATAAGTTTGAAAGTGTTAGCCAGCGTCAAATGAAAGGTCGTTGAATCAATCGATCAATAATATCTCAACAGGTTTAGACTTTTGAAAGAAGATGCTTTTCGCAAGTCCCTGAACACGAGCTAGTCGAGATAGCTGCAAGCGGGTTAGATTATTCCATTAGGAAAAAGTTAGACACTCAATATATTAAAGATATGGCCCAACTGGCTGATAGAGTTTGACAACTCAAACGATTGAAAGCTGAAAAGGCCAGAACTAGTAAATATCATAACAAAGAGAAAGGGTCTTATGTAGTAGCAGACGCGTACTCTTCTGACGATGAATAGTTCATTGATGAAATCGAGGTCAACGTGTCTGAGCTCAAGCCAGGACCTCCCTACGCTTGTAAATTATTAAAACCATCAAACAGGAAAAATCCTGTCGAAACTGAAAAAAACAGATAAATTCGTTGCAAAAACTTACACTTTTGATATAACTAAATGTGACGAAATATTTGATTTGTTGGTCAGGGATGGGAAAATTATCGTGCCTTAAGGCCTAAAGAATCCCCCATTAGAGCAAAAGAAAAAAGGGGATTCTGTAAGTTTCATAATTTTCTTGGTCATAAAACATCTCAATGTGCTATTTTCAAGGATTTTGTGCAAAAGGCTTTAAAAGAGGGCATACTTCAATTTGGTGAAAACCCAAGATGTAGGTGGATACAGATCCCTTGAAGGTTAAAGGAGCTTTATATACCGAACCTTTTGAATGTATGATGGTCGAAACTACTTATAGTGTCGACAAAGCCTTGGATGTTGAACCTTTTGAATGCATGATGGTCGAAACTACTTATGGTGTCGACGAAGCCCTGGATGATAAACCTTCTGAATGCATAATGGTTGAAACTACTGATGGTTTCGATGTGAAAAATAAAGATGCATTGAAAGCATTGTATCCTCAACCTAGAGAAGGATTGACTGATTTCCAAGAAAATGCAGAGTGAAAGGGTCGAAGGTTGTGTTATGTCCAAGATGTAATGATGTCTTTGATGGAAAAGCTTCTGAAAAGTACAAACTTGACAAGACGAAGGCACTGGAGGGACAAAAGCTCCTCATTCCAAGATTCGTGTTTGACAAAAGAGGAGCTCCTCCGTAAAATGAAGATTTTAGGAGGCAATTCCAGCATCCTCGACCAAAGACTTTTCTTCCCCGTCAGACACCCCATAAGAAAAATGGGTGGAACCAGTGAATCAGAAGGGGACAAGATGCCAAAATGAAGAGTGCTCGACTGGAGACAGAAGAGAGGAATCAAGAGGTAAGAATCGAACCTAGAGGCTATATGGTTTCTCCTAATTACAAAGGGAAAAACCCCATGACAATAACACAATGGAGGCGTTATTAGAGGAACAAAAAAG